GTAGGCCTATGTGACAGAGGCCTAAACAAATTAAAGATGACGAATTATGCACAATGAATGAAAGTCTCAAAGCAAACAGTTTTTTATAATGTTTCAATGTTTAATAACAAATCCACGACCAAACTATGAGAAGTACTTAAAGGACCTTAATTAAAACATAAAGGCAGATGGCATCCGAAGGAACCATGTGGATTAATCATTAAATTTAAACTTTTAAATGTGTTTGCTGAGGGACAAATTATGGTGTGAGTTAAAATTGTATGTAAAAAGTGCTTTTAATGCATACAAATGAAATGATGGAACAAGCAAACCAGTGGAGACTGATATGAAGAGGGAAGTTAAGTTGTAGCTAATAAAGGCTTCACATGAGGAAATGATTATGGAGGGGCATTAACATGAGATTAAATAGCATATGTTTCCTTTTATTTTTGTGTCATGTTGTGTAGTAGCACATCAGCATTCTTATCAGATCTTAGACAGGGTGTTTGGGGCATTTGATGTGATTTTTTTTTTTTCTGTATTTGTTTTAACACCAGCTTTATTTTGTAATGATTCATGTCAGAGAAACTCAAAGTTTTTGTTTGATGAAAGGATGGCATGTTTGAATTTAGTGACAGAGCTTTGATATGTGTGTACTGTTCATATTCTTCAAAGTTGTCTTTGAATCACAGGTTTAAAACACTTGATCCACACGCAGGTTATTTTATTTATTTATCTGTTTTATTTGAATCAAACTACTTTCTCTGACATTCTAGTAGAACCTGTTAGAGTGTCCGTTTCTCCGTGGAAGTGCAAATATATCCAGTGGATGTTGATTATTTTAGACTGTACAGAATTGTCAAAGCTGTCTCTTCCCCCTCATGGCTGATTAATGTAAGTACCTGCTGACTGTGAAACATGTTGCACTACATTGTACAGATGAGCAACTCCTGTATCTTTGTGTCAATGTTATCCTGGTGGATGGAGTTGTTTGGTTTTTGGGTGGGGGGGGGATGCAAAACTAAGTAATACTTTTAACAACTTCCTCTGACTCCAATGTGCCTCTTATTTATTTACATATATCAGCTATTAATAATATGTGTCTCTCTTTGTCACAGAAAGTTATCAGAGTATTTAGGATGCATCGTAATGTCTTAAATACCCGTGAAACTTTTATAGTTTATGTTAGTTTCTTTTTATGGGGGCATATGGCTTATGAACCGAATGCCACACCACAGCATTTACAGTTGAATCTGATTTGCATGCCCATTCCTGGTTTACACTGTATATGTATTTTGTGGTTTTCTAGTCATACTGGCCACTCAGTCAAATTTCAGAACTGCCTCAATTCTTGATGACGTAGATTCAACAAGGTGCTAGAAACATTCCTCAAAAATCTTTGGTCCACGTTGACATGACATCATCACACAATTGCTGCAGATTTCTCAGACATACATCCACGATGGGAATCTCCCGAAGGTGCTCTGTTGGGTTGAGATCTGGTGACCGGAGGAGACTTGAGTACCATAAACTCACTGTCATGCTCAAGAAACCACTTTGAGTTCCAACCAGCCAGCAGAAGATAGATACACTGTGGTCATGAAGGCATGGACATGGTTAGCCATCAAGGAGGCTGGGGTGTTTAAACAAAGCTCACTGGTACCAGATTCTGAGCCTACTATTATCTGTGTCCAGGTTTGGTGAGCTCCTGTGAATAGAAGTAAATGGCCTGCATTTGTATAGCGCTTTTCTAGTCCCTAAGGACCCCAAAGTGCTTCACACTACATTCAGTCATTCACCCATTCACACACTGGCGATGGCAAGCTACATTATAGCCACAGCTGCCCTGGGGCGCACTGACAGAGGCGAGGCTGCCGGACACTGGCGCCACCGGGCCCTCTGACCACCACCAGTAGGCAAACATGGGGTTAGTATCTTGCCCAAGGATATTTGGCATGCAGCCAGGAGGCAGCCTGGGATCGAACCACCGACCTTCTGATTAGTGGCTGACCTGCTCTGTCACCTGAGCTACAGCCACCCACTGTAGTAGCATCAGTTTCCTGCTCTTCATGTTCTGGCTCACAGAAGCGACACCTGGTGTGGTCTTCTGCTGCTCTAGTCCACCTGCTTTAAGTTTTGCCTGAAGAGATGCTATTCTGCATACTTTACTTGTAATTAGTGCTTATTTGAGTTTCTTTTGCCTTCCAATTGACTCAATCTGGCGATGTTCCTCAGCAATTTTAGACCACTTTGTGTTTAGAGTAACTTCATTCACCTTTCTTCCCTGTTCTGATGCTTGACGTGAACTTAAGAAGATCGTCAAATCATTATGTGATTGGATAAGGAGACAGTTAAATTATACAGGAGCAGATTAATGGCCAGAATAAAATATTTGATGCTTCAGCTGATTGTTAATATTGATACACCAGTTTTCATCAGTATAAGTGAACAACAAAAGTCAAGCATCAGCTGACAGTAGTCTAGAAACACAGCAACAGTTTCATGTCAGTAATAAATGTATTCATTTTATTGGTTAGTTTTATTGAAGTAATAAACTCTTGGACTTTGACAAAACTTTATGCACATTCGAACTTTATTCTCTATGCAGAACCAGTTCAAAAATTGTTTGATAAGCAACCATCGAGAATGAATCGAACAATTGCTTCTATTAACTTAAATTAAAAGCCTACATTAAACAGACGGATAGATGAATGGATATTTATGAAAGGTATGCTAAAAAACAAAACTTGGTCTTATTATTTGTATGCATTGAACATGTTATGTATTTAACACAGAACGCCACAAGAGGTCAGAAGAGCAGTATCTTTAAGTTAAATCTGCTGTCTTTAAAGCATTACCTGGAGTGTGTGTTAAAAAAGAAATGTATTGCTTGGAAATATTGGTTGCCATTGGTTTGTCTGATATTCTACATCATAGTTACCCCAAAGGTTCATTCTGTTCATCTGGACGTAGTGTTTTCAGTGGGAGAAACGTTTCGTCACTCATCCAAGGGACTTCTTCAGTCTCAGCTGACTGCAGGTTTCTCCAAATCTTATAAACAGTACATTTGCATAATGACTGAAACCAGCCCACTGAAGGAACAATGGGCTGGGAGGTCAGTTCCTTAATCTTAATAATGGTAAATGGCCTGTATTTGTATAGCGCTTTTCTAGTCCCTAAGGACCCCAAA